TTTTCAGTTCCTAGGGATGAAATACGTACTCGCGCGCACGCTCGGGCGAAAAATCGACTTGAATGCACTACATGAACACCACATTGGAAGCTTTGATGTGGATAGGAACTCAGACCAGAAAATGGATAAGCAATGAACCAGTGGACTCCAAGCATTGTACGTTTTGTAATAGACAAGCATTGATAGTTACCCCAATCCATGGTGACCATTCAGGGAACTATGATGATGATAAAAATCCCAAATAATTGAAGATCCCTCCTAGGCCATGAGCATGTTATGTGGAAAACTGGGAAGAAACTGTTCAAATGGTTGTGTTTTCAGCTCCGAGGGATGAAATACGTACTCTGGCGCACACTTGGGTAGAAAATCGACTTGGAAGCACTACTTGCACACCATATTAGACAAGGGCAACAATGTTTCCGTCTCGCTGGTGGTAAGTGGCAGAAACATGATGCCAGATTAGCATGCTTTGTTGGTGATATGAACGTACACCAGATAATGGAATATGTTGTTAAAGTAGATTTTGGAACTACCAGATCTACCCATTTATTCTATCCCCAAATAATGATTGTGTACAAAGCAAGAAATTAATTTTGTATTTTACTAGTCGATAAAATTAATTGAAGTAGTATCTGTTGATAGATTAAACAAAGTACTAGACTTCTTTTACAAACATTAAAGGTTTCTACTAGATAGCATTTTGTTTCGATCCAAGTTATATGAATTTGATAAAATTAGTATTATGAGAGAATAGTTGATGAGAAAAGACTACAAGTGGTAATGGAGTTAGGGGTGGACAGACTCATACGGGCAAAATATGTTAAATTCTTTGTTATGAATTTAATTAATTCACTTATATAATTTCTTTTAAAGTATTGATGTGCTGTCGTTTTTGCTTTCATAAATCTTACATTTATGTCATTCATGAAATTGATGGTTTCGCCTTGCGTATCTCTTACATAAACTTCCATTAGGAGTATGGTCATGTTACTTATTTGATGAGTCTGCTAGGTTTTACCAGTAAAATTGACAAAGTACGATCCAAGTCTCCACCTCGTGAAGGAGAACTTCAAAGTAAAAGGGTAAATTAAAATCATGTGATGATGCTCATTAACCAAAAATCTAAAAGATGGAAACTTTAAAAATTTTATTTTTATATACACGTGTTTGTTGCATATATAACTGACACTAAAAGAATGGGGAGAATTGCTTTTGATTGCTGCCTATTGGCTACAAAGTGAAAATTAAACTGTTGATCATCTCACATTCAGCTTTGGTTTTGGAGTTCGTGTTACTTAATCATCATCAGCAGCATCATCAGTGTCATATACTGCTCTTTTCTCACATTTGTTATTAGATTCTTATTGACTCTATTAGAATGTTTGTACTAATCAATATACTAAAATGGGTTCGAGAAAGTACTATTTACAAGACGTATTTTTACACAGCCAAATAATTTCTAACATTATATTGCACATCATTTTCAAATATGAAGACAAAATAAAATGGAGAAGAAATATGAAAATTAAAATAAAAAAGAACAGTACTGGTGTGCAAAAATAAGGTGATTAAATGTCTGACAAATCAATAAAAAAATAAAATCAGATGTCAAAATAAGATAATGAATAAATAGAAATAAATAAAATCCAAGATAAAAAAATCTTTCTCTAGTCATTCTCTACCTAACATATAAATTTCATTACAGTGAATTGAGATTTCCAATTGACCAACTTTGAATGAATTGTAGAGAAAAAGCAAAAGAAATGAGAAAAGAAAGCAGCTAATATCATTTGCTCTGAGATATTTCTAAGATCATTAATTTATCAGTACTATCGTATGGTGGATCTATGAATTTAATATTTACATACATCTAATTACCGTTTCTTAGTTTCCTTTTGACCATTTTTTTCTTTAATTTCCTTAAGAAAAGAATATTGAAATGCCAATTGTCAAAATATTTTTCAGTACAGAGTACACTTGGTTAATAGTGTCTCTTTTCAATCTTATCTCTATCCTTCCTTCTTGGTGTAAACCGCTTTAGTATTTAAATTATTTTCTTTATAGTTACCTATACTTCTATTAATTCAACGTGTTGGCATGCATGTTAACACATGCTTCCTCCCGCCGCAAATATAATGCAATTAAAATTGTGTAATGACATATGCTTTTCAGTATTTTCATTCCAAAAAAATGTAAAGGGGTAGAAACCATTACCGTGATAGTTTTTTATTTTTCAATCACGTGTTTGTTATCTTGCAATAGATGTCACAACATCAATCGCTTCAAAGAACCACATATTATTATATAAGTGATTGCATTTATCATACCTTAATGTTTTAAAAGAACTAATTAAGCTGACTGCTAATTGATAAACAGTTTTACATTTCTCTTGAAGCCATTTAATTGTCCATGATAATTAATTATGGATTATTTTATTGCTATGTAAAGCTTGTTTGTATAGTAGATTGATCACCAAATGAAAGTGTGAAAGATTGGTTCTACACAAAAGGATACATGTTGAATCTGTCATTTTATAAAAGTATTGAACTTTCACATTTCTCCTTCAGCATATTTCAGCTAGCCTTGTCATGATCTACGTTTGTTTTCTTCTCGTTCTTTTTTTTCCCCTTTCTCACAACACACGTGGTGCTTGATATGACAAGTTGTTGAGGCTTTCTTTTATTTAATATATGATGGAAAAAAAGTTTAAGAAAAGGGAGGAACCTTTTTTTTTAATCATGGTATCCTACCTGAATCATATTTTAGTCAAACATTAATCACTAAAAAATAAGTGGGAAACTCAAAATACACAAAATCAATTATTGGAATAATATTATTAACTATTTTACTAAACTAAGACAATTTACCTACCATTCTATGCATACATTAGAAACCAAATCTTGGAAAGTTGAAAAATTAGTAAATAAATTAAATCTCCCTCATTCATTTTAATTAGATATGGTTTTCTTCCCTCAGTATAGTTAGTATTTTAATTACCAACTAAATTTGACTTCAATCAAATACAATAATCTTTAAAAAGTATGAAAGAAAAGAAAGAAAAAAATTCCTCTCTTTGTAAAGAAAAAAAAACAAGGATTGAGAAATTTATTTTAGATGACCAAAATCTCAAAATAACTCCAATTACATAGGAAAATACATTCAATACTAATTAAGATAAAGGGCATGAATGACCTTCACAGATATTTCCTATGGAATGGAGAGCAGTACGGAGTATGTAAATGAAGCTATTTAATTTAAACGGTGTAAGACGTCAACCCATATAAGACACATCTACACGTGTAATGACATCTGCTACTCACCTCCATTACATTTCCTCCATTTCATTTTCCTTCTGCCATTATAAATAGAGAACCCATATAACCAAATGCTCATCACTTCAAGTTCCATGAACAAATTTTCTTAGAGAGGTGATAAACATTTGAAAGCTTCTCTTATTAGCACAGATACATAAATTCATGAGTGTCTCAAGGATTTTATGTTTTTAAACTAGTTCGTCATTTTTCCATACAAGAAATTTGTACAAAGTTTCTTTTGATTGAAAGAAATTTTTAATGGAGGTGATTTCCTCTTAATGGTGTCTAACTTAGTTGGAACTGTGGAGGATTTCAAGAAAACAGTTTCAGCCATTGATGGTAATGAAAGCAAAATGATCTCTCATTTTTTTATTTTCTTATTTTGTCATCTTTCAAATGGTTAAGCCATTTTGATTTGATATGTTTTTAGTGGAGCGTCTTTGGAACTGTGGAGGATATTTACCATTTTCTGAATCTTTTTCGATTTGTTTGCATATTGATTTGATATGTTTTTGAGGTTGTTATTCTTATGATCACAAGTTTCTGGACTGATCCTTATTAGGTTAATTTGTTTTGCTGCAGGTCCAATTTCTTATTGGGGGGGCTTCATTTGTTGAGATTTCTGCATAGATCCTGAGAATATAATCATAGTAAGTTCTTTAATCATAGTAAGTTCTTCAAGTTGAAAATTTTAATGTTGGATTTTATGTTTGGATTGTGAGATTGGTTTCATTAAAATGATGACTGATAAATTAGCGATGCAAGTTTTAGTTTTTTTAATATAATAATTTGTATACAATATTTCATTCATTTACAAAATGAAAAATAATTTTTTATTGGATTTCTGTGTGATTATTTGAATGGAAATGATTGTTCCTTCTCAATTTCAGTTTAGAATATATTGTCTCTCTGGATTATATTTTCGATTCTTTTTAAATTCATTCAATTTGGAGCTTACTTTTTTTTAATTCCCCTCTTTCGGCTCTTTTGTGGGTGTTTTTCCAGCTATCGTTGATGTAATATACGTACAAATGATTTCTCTATATATTGTTCAGTTACTATGGTAATTGATTGAACAATTTAATAACCAAACATTCTATATCCACATTGAGTTGGTATGTGATATAAATATGGTTTTTTCCGTTGACATATGTAATATAAAGATCTTCTCTTGATATTGTTGAGTGTGTATTCAGAAACCCAATAGTATTTGGAAAATTATTTCTCATATGTACTCTATATTTGTCTGAGATGGAAAAAAAAAAACATTTTTTTGGTATTCTATTAAATTTGAATTTATTAAGACGAGCTAAACTTGTGAGTTTCAGTGATCCTTCAACCTAGTTGGTTTCTACTTTCTACTTTGTAGTTCATGAAATTCTTGACTAGAGACAAACAATACCTAGAGTGTAATGTATTTTAAATATCAATATTTCATTTATATTCTGCACCGCCCTTAGTATATACTAAACAGAGATTGTGTTTATGGATTCTTACCCTTCTATATGGCTCACTTTTCTTGTTAATTTTGTGCTCGTTAAATACTTGTGTGTATAAGTTTGTGGCAATGATGTTTTTCCTTTTTAAAGTATTGGTATTGTGACATTTTACTAAATTTTGATTAAATAAACTTGTAGGTTTAATTTTGACTAAGCTATATTGTGAGAAATAGTATCGCATCTCATCATGGAGGACTTGCCAAGTGCATTTGATGTGACTCAAACTGCAAAGCGAAGACGTGAGAATATGGATGATAAAGCAAAAGATCTGAAAGATAGTGGTGATTCGGCCAATAATTCACTCATCTCAGAGATTGGCCGTGATCTCTCAATGGAGTGTTTAGCGCGCTGTGCCAGGGTAGATTATGGTAAAATTTTGATGGTGAATCGTAGTTTCAAGTCAGTTATCTTAAGTGGAGACGAGCTTTATAAGCTAAGGAGGAAGTTAGGCATCATTGAGTATTGGGTTTACTTTTCATGTAATCGTGCGGAATGGGAGGCCTTTGATACAGTTGGGCGTCAATATAGGGGTTTACCACCCATTCCAGCTAGTGAATGCTTCAAGTGCTGTGACATGGAGTCACTAGCTGTGGGTACTGAACTTCTCGTCTTCGGAAGGGAGGTACAATCACTTACTGTTTACAAGTATAGTGTAGTAACAGACTCGTGGGTGGATGGAGTGACTCCAAACACCCCAAGATGCCTATTTGCCTCTGGCAGCCTCGGCGAGATTGCTATCGTGGCTGGTGGTTGCGATTCAGAAGGAAAGATACTAGGCTCTGCAGAAATGTATGATTCGAATAAAGGAATGTGGCGAGCTCTCCCGAGCTTAAATACACCAAGGAAATCGTGTTCAGGTGTGGTTATGGACGAGAGATTTTATGCAATTGGGGGGATCGGTCTTGGGGAAAAAAGTGTAGACAGTGAAGCTGGCAACCCGAAAGTGCTTACTTCCGGTGAGGTGTTTGATATGAAGACAAACCTTTGGGTGGAAATTCCAAATATGCTTCCTGGACACATTGTAGAGGGAGTTGATGAGTATTCTCATGCAGCCATGAAGTCGCCTCCTTTACTTGCTGTTGTGAAGAATGAGCTATATGCGGCATATCACGAGGAAATGCTACTGAAGAAATACAACAAGAGCATGAATGTTTGGACAACAATCGGTAGGTTACCGGAAAATGCCTCCTCGACTAATGGTTGGGGATTAGCGTTTAGAGGTTGTGGTGATCTACTCATAGTTATTGGTGGCCCTCAGGCTATGAATTATGGGTTCCTCGAGATCAATGCATGGGAGCCAAAGGAAGGTCCTCCAGAGTGGACTTTGCTCAGTAGGAAGGATTCAAAGAGTTTTGTCTATAATTGTGCTATAATGGGTTGTTGAGCCACATTCTTTGGATTTAGAGGAACATGGACTCACAATGGATTATCAACTCTGAAGAAACAATTTATTGTTCCTGTTGTTTTTATGTCATTTGCATATGACCTATATCAATTAATTTTTGGTTATTAATAGCTGGAAGAAAAGTAAAAAAGAAATATGTTATACATTATAGTAACAAACATTTTTTTTTTAATTTCTTGGTCTGAAACTTTGTGGGGTTTTATTTGCAAGAGAAATGAAACTTTTAGTTTTAAATGATGATTCTGATGATTTTGAAAGGAAATGTCTTTTGTTTCCTTATTCCAATAAGCTAGTTTATATGTTTGTATATGTCTATATATATATGTATATATTTTTGTTTATGTCTATATATGTTTGTATATGAAACTTTTAGTTTTAAATGATGATTATGATGATTTTGAAAGGAAATGTCTTTTGTTTCCTTATTCCATTAAGCTAGTTTATATGTTTGTATATGTCTATATATGCATATATGTATATATGTATACATGTATATATGAAAGGAAATGTCTTTTGTTTCCTTATTCCAATAAGCTAGTTTATATGTTTGTGTATGTCGATATATATATATATATATATATATATATATATAAAGATTGATAACTATTCCTATATGTAATTAATTTACAAAAAATTGATTCTACTTAACTGCCTCAGTTCATTGATCACAGTTAAGTTATTATATATTTTTCAGGATCGACTCTTAACATTTATATTTCCTCACCAAAGTGTAATAGAAGAATCTAGTATTTTACAAAAACTACTCTTATTATAACATCCTTGCATTGATTTGAAACCACAAATAAAGAAACTACTTACATATGATGCTAACGCATTCTTTGATTCCATTTTTTTTTTATTTAACCAGGGCAGTATCTGGCGGGGCATGCCCACCGATATTATAGATCACCAAAAAGAGGATAGTGGATAAGATTTACACAAAAATATACAATCATCTATCCCAATCTAATTAAAAAATAAGGACGAGACCTTTGATCTAGGACCAATAATCATTTTGTTTCCCAATTAAGGTGAGTTGATGCGGAGCTACTAATTTCTCATATTCCTCATCTTCATAATCCAACACTGCTGCACCATTGATGAATTTTACTTCTTTGATGAGAGAATCCTTAGTTGTTGAAATGTCCGTAGACTTTTCGAAAAACCAGCAAAGGTTCGAGGATGCCCAGTGGGGCCCTCCCCGGTGCGATCTCCGGTCATGAAGACTTGGACGTGTACATTATCACAGCAGTCTCGGGGCCCCCGCTACCATAGATTGAATCCAACGGTCGGCATTGGGCACAGACGTAAGGATAGACTATGGATAGCTTTAGTAGGCGTGCACGAGCTACGAATACTTGACTATTGTGGCCACTTGGAGTGACGGGTTATTGTTATTGGATTTGAAATGTAACTTAACACCAATTGGGAATCTAACTCGGAAGACAACCCAAAAGACCACATAGGTCTTCGGCAGTTTCCAGTTAAGATCCACTCGTATCCTCATGAGAAGATATCAATGGCCTCGGATATGGTCATCTTTTATGTGCTAATGTGACTGAATGTTTCTTTTTCAAATGCAATTCATCACGTATATAATGTTAGTCTAATAGTTATAGTGATAGAACTTTGTAGAAAATGTTAATAAACGAAAATGATGGATGAAAATGAACTGTGTGAATAACTGCATGTGCATATAACTTGATTACCGTATGGAGTGTGAGAGACTGGGAGTTGTTGTTTGAGGTATTCACTGGGCTTTAAAGCCCATCCCATTATTTTTCCTCACAGGTTAGCTGAGTTAAGGAAAGAATAAATTGAATTGATTGCGAAGAGAAGCATTTGGCTTTTCTTTATCTAGTGCTTATTTGAACTTCGGAATTTGTATTAAATTTTGGAAACATTTTTGTAGTAATTAAGTCTTTCGCTGTGAAAATTTAGAAGTTTGAACATGTAATAGATTAGTTAGTTCTGTTCCACAAAGCCTTGGGCGAGAGATCATTCAGCGGGTGGCTCAATTGGTCACCGAACACGATAAATAGTTGTGTTAGAGACTTGGGTCGTCATACGTATAATAAACAGGTCAACCCTTAATAGACCCATTTATTATACGGGTCTAAAATCTCAACTTGACCCATTGATTTCTTGTCCGGTTCGTGTAAAAATTTCGAGTCGTGCCAAAAATTTCCTGCGCTAAATAGGATACCAAAAAATGTTTTTGTTCCAACCAAATTATAGCTACTTATGAGAAATTATCTTCCAAATACTATTGGATTGCTTAATATACCTACACCATTATCAAGATAAGATCTTTGTGTTACATATGTCAACAGCCTAAACCATACTTATGTACTAAACACAAAAAAGCTCAATTTGGATATAGAATATTTGGCTATTAAATTGTTTAATCAATTTCCATATTAACTGATGGGTGTCGAATCCACCAAAATAAAAATAATTTAAAACTTGTAGCAAGTGATAAGAAGGGTAGATCCCACAAAGACGGTGAATATCAGAGCTGGTTGGGTTCGAGTGCAAGAATGTAAGCTTCAGGCAAATTGCGACTTGCGCAAGTGACTTACTAACTTGACAGAGTGGGTGAAACCTAGGGTCATCCTCCTCTTTAGTTTATACTTGTATACTTTGATTTAGTTGCTCTTTTTGTGGTGTGAATTATGCTCGATTAGGCACAAATACACCGTAAGGTCACTACCACTTGTTCCAGACAGAGTCTAGTAGCAACAAACCCACTAAACTCCATTGTTGTTTTAGAATACTACTAAACCATTAAGATCCTAAGTTCTTGTGATCATCTCGTGCCAAACAACTAACCTCATTATTGTTTGAATCCTTGGGCTATTATCCCCTCCTCACCGGCTAATCTTAGATATTCTAAGTTAGGTTTAACCGTGAGGGATTCTCCTAACATGCATGCACTATTAGTTAAGTGGCTAACTAAAATAGAAGGTTAATTAAAACTTTAAGACTATGCACATAAATATCATCCGAGAGCTAAATCAAAACATACTTATATAAAGTAGAGGGATGAGACCCTACAAAAGAGTTTAGCTACACATGCATGGAATCTTAAACACAAAAGCAATGAAGTAAAAAAAAAAAAAAAAACAAACTCCAACATGTTTACAATCAGAAAGGAGAGAAACAAGTGAAGAATAGAGTCAGGAAATGTGGTTCAGTTCTGCTGACTTCTCTTCTCATTTCACCAAGCGGCACTCCAGATTCTACTTCCTGCTGATGCTCTATTTTTCTACCTAACCAATAACTAAACTAACTCTAATTTCTTCCTTCTTGACTCGATGCCTTGATGCTACTGATCTTCTTGATTTTATAGAGGGTGGAGGAGGCTAGCTTGCTTAGTTGAGTTGATCTTCACTTTATCATGGTTGTCAAAATTGATTTCCTTGATTCAGGGGAGACCAATACTCATGCCCATCCTCTTTCTTGTCTTCTAATCAACTTTGGAGAGTTGTTTATTTGATTAATCAACTTGTGGCTCTAATATACTCCCTTGAAGTCAGCAACATCACATCTTCTTCCTTCCTTTTTCTTTAGTGTTCAAAGTTTGTTTGATTTTCTTCTTCCCGCTGCTGCTGCCACTGCTGGATCGCCTTCACGGTCAACTTTTTACCATCAGTTCAATTGGCCATTTTCAACTCTGCCAAACTTCACTATTTTGCACCTTTTTACTCATCTTTTTTTAACTTTTGCAATTAAGTCCCTTGATCACCAAAAATCACAAATTACATTAAAACTATATAATTCCTACTAAATTAGACTAAAACACAAATAGAAAGAGGTAAATAATGCATGCTCAAATATGTGTAAGTGATTCCCATCAACTCCCCCAAACTTGAAGAGTTGCTTGTCCTCAAGCAAACATAACATTTACCCCTTCTCACAGACTCAAATACATAAATGCAGCAAAGAATTTTGTCAAAATTTTGACTCAGAATCAGGTTTCATCAGAGACAGAGCGTTATACACCATAGTACAGTACCATTTGAGCAAGCCAGAAACTCACTTCTTGAAGTGTGTGTACAACAGATCACAAACCAAAGTGATGCTTGTCCATTCATAAGGTTAATTCAGTTAAGTTCAGATGGAGATTCTAATGATTAGTGCCTATTTTTATCTTGTCTGTAACTAAGATATTCTTACTGAGGTTAAGATCTAATGGTTTTCTCTCATTTCTACAAGCATCATTGGCTACATCTTTCACCCTCGTACTTTTTCATCCGGGAGTCTTTCGGCGTTTTCTATCTTATAGACTCTAGTTTCTTTCCCACCAAGGCCTATACCAAGTGCATTTTCAGCAAATTTTGGCATTCTAAACATACATTCTCTTTTAATCTCACAAGGCCGACTCTCCTCTCTTTGGTGCCATGTCTTACCTCTCAAGGGTTAACAATGCCTCATTGGACATCCTGCTATTACTCACTCAATTAGCAAAACACTTAGCCTCAGATTCAACCGCCAACTTCCCCTTTTTTAAGGTACTTATGTTATTACAAACCACTATGGGCTCGATTCAAGACTGCCATAATGCGTAGGGTTGCCTTACATACTGATGATAATGCTGCAAGGTGAAGGTGTAGTAGGGCCTAGTTGGCTTTCTACTTTGCTTTTCTCTCTCTCTTTTTTGTTTACTCAATTTTCCTACCGATAGTCACATCCTTATCTTTCTTTACATTAGCTTTTATTTCATGCATGCTAAACGTGAAAATGAGTGATAGATCACATTAATGGAGTCGCCAATGTGTGTACAACGTGTATCGTTACCCGTTTTAGCTTTCTGTGTGGGATCCCATTAAGAAGGCTACACTACTAAAAAGTGGTCCTCATATAACATTTAAAAACGTCACAACCTAGTTTATAAGATATTTTAAATTAGAGTGAATCACAAAATAGGTCATTGAATTATAGGGTAATTTATTCTCAAAATCGGCCACCATACTAAG